TGTTCTGACATTGACTGATATTTCTTTGTTCTGACATTGACTGATATTTCGCTGTTTTGATATTGACTGATATTTCGCTGTTTTGATATTGACTGATATTTCGCTGTTTTGATATTGACTGATATTTCGCTGTTTTGATATTGACTGATATTTCGCTGTTCTGATATTGACTGATATTTCGCTGTTTTGATATTGACTGATATTTCGCTGTTTTGATATTGACTGATAATTCGCTGTTTTGACATTGACTGATATTTCGCTGTTCTGACATTGACTGGTATTTCGCTGTTTTGATATTGACTGATATTTCGCTGTTTTGATATTGACTGATATTTCGCTGTTCTGATATTGACTGATATTTCGCTGTTTTGATATTGACTGATATTTCGCTGTTTTGATATTGACTGATATTTCGCTGTTTTGATATTGACTGATATTTTGCTGTTTTGATATTGACTGATATTTCGCTGTTTTGATAATGACTGATATTTCGCTGTTCTGATATTGACTGATATTTCGCTGTTTTGATATTGACTGATATTTCGCTGTTCTGACATTGACTGATATTTCGCTGTTTTGATATTGACTGATAATTCGCTGTTTTGACATTGACTGATATTTCGCTGTTCTGACATTGACTGATATTTCTCTGTTATGACATTGACTGATATTTCGCTGTTTTGATATTGACTGATAATTCGCTGTTTTGATATTGACTGATATTTCGCTGTTCTGACATTGACTGATATTTTGCTGTTTTGATATTGACTGATAATTCGCTGTTTTGATATTGACTGATATTTCGCTGTTTTGACATTGACTGATATTTCGCTGTTTTGACATTGACTGATATTTCGCTGTTTTGATATTGACTGATATTTCTCTGTTATGAATGGACTACATGTTCTGATATTTCCAATGGATTGTAGTTTTAAAGAATTTACAAAATTACCTGCAAAATAGATGCCTTTGCCAAACATGTAGCCAGTCTAAAGTGAGAAAAATATACCAAAAGTAAATAACCTTCGTGATTCAATTGTTTAGCAATATTTAGCACACTGCAAATAGTCCCAAACTTGCCAATTTTCCATCCAAGATGTGAATTGGTTTTATTAAAACAACAGATTAGCTAGGAAGAGATCAAGCATTAAAATTCATATTATATTATCTAAAATAATCAAATGATACTTAAAATAATATGATCAAATCTTATCATTCGTTATGATATTATCCTATTATTCCATCAAATAACAATATAACGAAACACAGTACATTATAGTATGCTCACATAACAATAAGTTACATTACACAATATTATCTAAAACTGATTATATTATATTATATTATACTGTACAGTATTGACAAAAAAGCAAACTTACAACTGGGGCTTCTGGTGGCGCGATACGAAGTCCTTGTGAAATGATACCAGCATAGTTACTCAGCCTCGAGCCATGCCATAGCAATTTACGGTTATGCAGCTCTCTAAATGGACTGTATCGCGCTTTTTCTCCTTGACGATCGACTTCAAAAGCCTGCGAAAATTCACAATGAACGTGAGGTTATATTTGGTGTAAAAAGGAGGGATATAATGACAAATCAATGCAGATTACACCTCTAAAAATATGGAATCCTGCAAGACTAAGGCACATCACTGTAAGGTAGAGAAACAAAATCATAGGCTACTAGGGATAGTTGATAACCAAAACACTTTACAATTGCAACTTAAACGTTATCAATATTAAGGATAGACAACGCGTTTATCAAAGGTTATCTATATTCCGCAATTTGTCTAAAAAAGAAATAGTTTCAAATAAACACTTCTTTTCATGTAAAAGTGAAAACAGGCCGATCTTTAACAAATGATTTCCCTTTCGATGCAAAAAGAAACAAAAGAATCTTCTACTAAATAAACAAAGTATTCTATATTGAATGAAATACCTCCTCTAGCTTGAGCGAGTAATGTCGGTGTGTTGATGCATGTGTGTTCTGCACATACTCCTCAAGCATTGCAAATTCTTCTGACTTTTTATCAACGACCTTTATATCTGCTTTTAGACTATCATAATGCGCATCGATTGGGTCTTTGTCTTTGCTGCTCGTCTTCAGCAAGTTGTACGCGATTTCAATATCCATCAAACTGTCAAGCATATCTGTTTTTTCCTTAAAAAGAGTCAATTAACAACCGTAATGACGACAGTAAAAATAAGTCGACATTTGAGACCATATCAAAGAAATAATTAGAAAGATCGACCAGACTGGTTGAATTTTTCTTTGCTTGCATTGAATTTTTCTGAGCATTGGAAAATACTTCATATGGGACTGAATTCCAGACCTCAATGCATTTATACGGATATTGTTGGATATTTACACTTGTATTATTTTACTTCATTGTCTTGAGGAGGGAGTCTTACAAGCCAGTGCTCTGGGTCCTATCCTAGTGCAATTCTCTTAATCAGTGGTGGAAACTATTTGACTACACAATAAACTACACAAACACTACACAAACGACTACACAAACACGAAGCTCCGAAAATTCAAGCGCTTGCCCTACCGCGCAAGAGGCCCAATTCCCTTCAAATTTCTAAATGTCCATTTTCTAAAAAAGCTAACATTGTAAGAAAAACTAAAGCATTCCGTCCGAGAATAGGATATATTCATACCAAGATGTGGATATATACAAAGAATAGGATATATTCATACCCAATTTTATTGCTCTATTGCCCAATGTTGGCTACGTTTTCTATGAGCTGCCATCAGAAAAATTTTAAGTCAATTCCAAGTAAAATTTGAAGTCAAAAACATAATTTGAATTCAAGAATTATCAACGGAAACAAGCTCACTTTGATCATTTCAGACTTGTTCAGCAGTGGTGGAGCCTTCAGCCCAAAGTCATGTGGAATGAGCGTGTAAAATCTGTTTGAAGCATCCAATATTTTCGTTCCTGTTTCGTTGTTATCAAGGCACTGTTAATAAAAAACAGTTCCATCTGTATGCTATTTAATACTATAAAAACCTGGAAAGGCATGCAAAATGAAATTGAATACCGATCGCAAACTCCAAC